TGTCATTAGCTAGGCACATTACTCAACAGTAATAAGCTTACAGGCTTCCAAGCAGTAATCTGCTAATAAAAATGGAAATAAAATAGTTTTCTTTCTACTCTCTGTTATCCTTTCTTAAAAACTTTGATATATCAATTTTATAATTTAAGTAGGATCCAAACACACAGAGTTTTGGGAAAAATTGGTAGGGAAAACAAAAGCTGAACTACTTCATTCCTAACACATCAGTCTTTATGGCTGAAAAGAAGGTGGTGGTGTTCCAAGATGGTAGTGATTATGTCTAGCTAGATGGATGAGGATTTGTACTGTTGTATGAACATATGAAAGACAAGCTGTCTGATGTTTAAGCAATTCGAATGGTTCAGAAGTTAAACTTCCTTAACATGAATACTTTGAAGAATTTCCTTCACTCCCAAATCTTATCACCTTAGATTTTACAAAACATTAACTATAGAAAAGTCCCAATTTTATTGGCTGCATAATGGTGCCTGAAGCAAGAGATTGTCTTTCCTGAACAGTACCCTGAACTCAGGCAGAAAATTCAGAAGGAAAACCAGACGGGAAAAGGCTAATGTGATAGTTAAAGAAAATAACAAAGTCTATACTGGCCAGAGGCAAACAGCAGCTGAGTCCTACACTGACAGGCGACTGTGGTTCAGACAGTACCCTACAGGACTGAGACAGGGCTGGGTGATAGTCAAAAAAGCAAAAGGGGAGGATGATAAGAAGCACATGTGAGCTCAGAGGTGTACCTGCAGCCAATGTAGCAGGAGCTACAGACACGTTGATGACAATAAGTAACACGTTGCCCTTGAGACAGAGGCTGAGGTCCTTGCTGTCAAGTAACCAAGGTGCACCTAGACCCTGTATGGCATAAAGACATATGACATGTCCGGTACCATGCAGAGATGCAGAAAAAAAAAAGCAGTAAGTGGATTGGAGAAGCAAGGTGTCTTATTGTGGTACTCCTTCTGAACTCAAACCCATACCTTTCAGCAGGTGGAGCCACAGCAGTAGGTTATAGCATGCTTGTCTGGCTGCAGAGCTAGCGTTCCTGTCATTAGAGAAGAGATCTTTGTGGCACCCTCAATTACTGAATAAAAACACGGCCTGAACAGTCTGCATTATGACTCACACTGGTCTTTTCCCCAGCCCATTTTATCCAAAGGATTCTTTTAGTTCTGGTAAGCAGCCACAAGCCATAAAAAGAATGTAACAATAGGAAGCATAATAATAAATAGCAATTAATACATCATTATAGGTTTGCATCTCAAGGCGGAAGGAAATAGGGAAAACAATGCATTTTGATGTCAACATCAGCAGAATTTCTGGGTCTTGCTTTTTGAGTACTTAATCATCCTGACACTGAGGCAGTTTCATGGGAGTTTCAGCAATGAAACTATCCAGAGAAAACTTTTTGTTAAGGCAGACCCCACAGCATACGCACTTTTTTGACTACTTTCAAAACAATGTGATTTTATGTTGATAAATGCAGCATGGTAAACATGCTCTACATTGTGTTTTGTACTTCCCAGACATTTTTTCAACTTAAAATACAAGTATTTAATTTAGACTTCATTAAACAGTTATTATATATTAAACGAATAACAACTACATACTAAAACATATTTGCAGAGTATTATGACTATGCAAAAGGTTCATATCAATTTCACAGTCGTGAATCTATTACATAACTTTTAATCCGTGATGAATATTTAATAATCAGTATTCAAATAACATACATTAACTGTCCTATTAAATCTAAATTAATTGTGGCTGAGGGAACATTAATTTAAAAGGTTACCAATTTTCCCAGCAGATCTGATCTTTGTTTCATATTTTCTACTAAAATTAGTGTTAAAGACAGAGTAAATTTGTTTCATTTAGCATGCACTTACTAGGTGCTCTGTGAATCACATTCTGCCAGGCTTCTCTGCTAACAGTGATATTAAAGATTCTCTCCCATTTTCTTCCAGTGTAATTAGCGTTACCTGGAGATAATAAAATATCATGTATTTGTTTAGGAAAAGTAATCCCTGTTGACTGAATGTCCTGACATTCAGCAGTTCATTAAAATCAGTGAGTCAAAATTTGTGAGTTTACATATTTTGAGTTTACAAAATGACCAAGTCTCAAGAGAGGAAGCAAGACTGGAAATAATTTTCTTTAAATGAATCAGGATCACCATAGAATTTATCTAGAAGCGATTGTATCATTGCAGTCCTGTGCATAACAAATGTGAGATGCTGCAATAGCGCTGGAATTAGACCTTGGAGTCTAGTACTTGAGGAAGAGTGCACAGTCATAAGCAGTAACTGGCATCGGAGTGTTTGAATCTAAGAACTGAGGTGTTTCATTGGAGAAAGGGACAAATCTCCTCAAAATTAATGTGAGAAGAACCTGGCATTGAATCATATAGTCTAAAATATACTATCAATTCAATCCTGTGTTGAATTCTGCTATATTTTTCCATATTTGAAATTCGCACAGGTCATTATGTTTGAATGCTGCACAACAGTAATATGGCTTCTGTTCTCTGGAATTCATTTGGCTGTACAAGACATATTAATTAAACGTCTCTGAGTAAGAGATATGCTTAGCAGACTCTCCCTGCAGTCTCAGCCACAAGCTAATTGATCACTAGGAAAAAAAAGTATCCTTTATAGATGCTGTATGACACCATGTCATGGCCACAGCAAAGAGACAAAATCAAATGTGTTATTTTTACAAGACATAAGACTTCCAGATATTAAATATAGAATTTTCAACTGTGTTTTCTTTGCTCTTGTGCAGACTTCTTAAGTTTGTCCATTAATTTCTATTTTGCAGCATCTTGCAGCAGGCTGTGTTCTCCTAAGTTTACAATTCCATGTTGTAGTTTTTCTCCCACTCTGTAGCACTGCATGCCAGATGTGTCAACTACCTGTCCCTAACAGGCAAGTCACAGAACACAATGGAGACTGGCATGGTATGCTGCAAATGGTGAGCAGTCAAAGGATTGCTTTAAAAAGCACATTCCTGAAGTGCAGGCTAGCGTTGCACCTTTCTGGCTAGCTTCACATTTGTTGTGTAGACTCTTATTAGCTTGAGTCTGCCTTTGCTGCAGAGATAAAACTGTGTTGGTGAGGACTTTACCACAGCATTTTCTAGGGTCTTGATCATTCGCTGCTCTCTCTCTCATGGAAGTTGAATATTGAGGGAGCTGTTGGCAGTCACTGCCATGAGAGTTCAAGCCTCATAATCTTGAGCAGTCTGAGAAAACAGGGAGTCTTTAAAAAGAGTTAAATTATTTTAGCTGAAGAAATAATATAGACAGATTTGCTACCCTTTGCATTGTTTAGCTGTTTCTGGTTGACCGTTGAGTTTAAGGCCAAGATCCAAAACTTTGATGAGATTTAAGAAATAAATGTCTTCGTGTGTTGGTTCTCAGCTTCTTAAGAACCAGGTATTTTATGTTTCTCTCCACTTTTCAAATAGTGTCCATTTTCTTTGTCTTGATAGGACTTGATGTTTGTTCCTCATATAAAGCCAGAGATTACATCATTTCTGTTTCTTGACATCCATTTCTTGCTGTACTGCCTTAGCACTGATGTTGTAGCCCTAGCTCTAATTTGGCTGGAACAGTTATCTTTAATCTCAGCTGATTCATGATCCAAAAATACCAAGCAAACAACAGTGCCAACATTTTACTTTACTGTCCCTCTCATCACGAAGAAATACACATTTATGGAAAACAGGAAGTACAGGCAACAAGAGAGGGTACAGTCTTGTAAGCCAAAGATAGAAGCCACTTCTCAAGTCCAGTTTAAGCAGAACTTTCTCCTTTACCCACTAAAGGCATTTGTAGATTGAACTAGATTTTATTAGTTAAGTGTTACTGTTTACTGCTTAGTTTAATATCTATCTCCATTTCTTTGTGTCTAGAAACCAAGGGGAGCATAAATTAAATTACAGTTTAAAATAAGAGATTAAGTGATTGTTGAGGAAATATGAAGAAGAATTATAGGCCACTAAATTTAACTTCAATACCTGACAAATAACTAGAACAATTAGTAAAGCAAGAGCAGTCAGTATGTAAACAGCTTGAAGAAAATGCAGTGATAAATCAGCAACACGTTTGTAAAAAGCACAAATCAAGTGAAACCGAACTAATTGGTTTCTTCAATGAAATAATGAATGCATAAAGCAAAAGTGGTACACAGAATTTCTTAATATTAGTAAGACACTGATACCAGTTGCACATGGCATTCTCAGAAGGAAGCTAAATAAAGTGGGATTAAATGGAACAACATAAAATTAATAAGCAGGTAAATAAACACTGAGAAACTTTATGAACAGTTGAGCTGGTTGCCGGGAGGAGATCAGAAACACTTTAGGTGATCAAACATGTTACACAGCTCAATGTAGACATGAGGGGTTTTTTTTAACTGTTTTTTTTTTTTTAAGATAACCCCCATAAAACAGCATAGAGTGTAAGAAACACCTAAATAAAGAAACTGAGCAGAACAGCAAAAATGACAGCCATTTTGGCTCTATGCCAGCACCAGAATAGCTTGCATCAGCATCGTTTTTCTGGTACACAGCTGAGTTTCTTTATTTAGATGTATTAAATATTCCAAAGCCTATCTAAATAGAGCTTTGATTACCCCAGGATTATCTCAGATTTATTTATTGACGTTGCTTCTGTTGACTGATATTTCTGTCCATTCGTCTATAAAAATCACACGATTCATGAAATGTTTATGCCTTTTTGTTGTGACTGAGTGAGAAAAGATGTCTAGTGGCGTCACATGCATCTGGGAACTTTTGCTCTGTTTTCTTTATAGAAGCTAATAAAGATTCTCAGGATTATTTATTTATTTTTACCACAGTAGGCATGCTGTTGGCCGTTATGGCATCTGTGTGTTTTGACACCTAAGAGAATATTTTGGCTTTTAAGAATACAGAACGAAAGTTTGTCTCAAAAGCTGACGTGACAAGAGAACTCATATGATAAAGACATGAGAGCCCAAGACATCAATGAGAAGAGTTTTTGTAAGACAACAACTGTAGAAAGAACATCAGCTGCCTCATCATTGTCAAGGTTTTTCATAGGTGCTAGAGGAAAGGAACATTTTTTAGAAGTCTTAAAGGAAGATTACCAGGTTAGTTTTGAAGATTCTTGTTTCCAAGTAAGAAGAGCAGTTGACACTTGAACAGAGAGTGAGCTAATCAAATCTTACAACAAAACACCACAAATAGTATTTTAGATATTAGAATAAAAATCAAGTATTGAAAGGAGACATCTGTTGTAAAAAAGGATTGAGATGCAGAGCACAGAGAATAAGCAGATGCAATTAACAGCGTTTTACACAAGAAAAAGAAAATAGCATGAATTCTTAAACAGTTGATTTTGTCTGCTTGTACAGTCTGCAGTAGTTTTTATTTCAAAGTATAACGAAGGGAACAGTAAGATATAGATAACAAATGACATCCTTGTCAGTAAAACTTTGCCAGTCACTTCTACGCCCTTCATATAGACCAGATTGCATTAAAGTTGAAATAAATGAAAGATTGCTTCTGACTTCTGCAGGAATTGCTTTTCACTCCTGGGCAGTGTACCTTCTAGTTTTGGTCAAATATCACATGACATGAATAGCTCATTTTAAAAAGAGCAAGGATAAAATATCATTAGATAGATAGGTTACAAAATTGGGAGCTTTTATTTAAAATAACAGAAAAATATGACTGATTTTTTTCAGGGCAAGTACCACATGTAAAGAAGCAATGAATAAGGTAGGTCTGTTCTCCATAATGAATGCTACCTCAAATGTACATACTAATACAATCACAGTATTATCGTAAGATAAATTTAAGAGTGAAAAAAAAGGCAATAAAAATGACTGGTTTAGGATTTTTCCTTATAACTGAGTTTCTAGGTAGGAGTGTTCACTTCATAGAAAAGAATGATGGCAACATTTAATAACCTACAAATACAAATATATATTAGATTGCAAATACTGCTTGCTGAGAGCAGGATAAAAAAAACAGGCAAATTACAAAGGAGAAATTTTGTTTATGATGAGCAGATTAGACAGCAAACAGGAGTGACTGCAGAGTTGCTGTTACTGGAGACCCACATGGCTAGAGTTGATGCTCCAGTGTCAAATGAGAAGACATAGGTATGTTAAATTAGTCTCACCAAGCAGTAAGGGCACTGTAAAACTTCAACTTCCAACTCAGAGACTATCATGATTTTTGAATATTCTGCTACTTAGGAAGCCCACATGCACCAGTACCCATTTCTGAGGAGCTAATGTACCAGGCAGTTTACACAAATATTGCTGGGAAAAGTACACCCTATCTAATGTTTCAATTTTTACATTGCAGGTAATTCCTTATAAGTTGTAACAGATTCAAGTACTTAACTTTCTCCTCTAGAACCAAAATAATTTATTATAGCATACCTAAACAGATTTATTTACGAGTAACAATGCTTTTACTTAAAAAAAAAAAAAAAACAACAGCAGTAACGGGAAAACCCTGCATCATCTGATTTAGGGAGGTTTGGTCAGAGCTTACAGCTCCTAGAAGATACAGAAGGGCACTCTTTTTTGTTGTTGAGAAACTGTAGTATAAACATGTATGTACAAACATACACAGATAAATAGTTCCTAAAGAGTTTTAATGTTTTTTTTTTTTCAGATCTACCCCACAGAAATGGATTTTGGCACATGAACATAAGAATAGAAAACAAGATAACAACTGTTAAGATAATATGCATATGTCCTTTCTGAATGTCTCCAGAAAAAAAAAAAACAAACCCACAACTGCATAAGGTGATGGGAGTTGTGTGATACCCTGAAGGTGAAGAAGTTTGAATTAAATCTGAATATGAAATTTCAGCCTCAAATGCTTATTGCTCATAATTACTATTCTCTGAGTGCCAGTCTACAATGATAAACAGAAAATTCAAAACTGGGAAGATTTTTTAAGTAAACTATTAGCATAATTTATTTTCAAAGACACACCTCCCACAAATCCCTACCAATAATCAATGAGATACAGCTTCTTCTGAGGTGTAGCAAAGAAGACCATGCAGTGGCCTACTATGCAGTGGTCTAAACTAAGAACAGAATCATAGGATAGAATCATAGAATACTTAGGGTTGGAAAGGACCTTAAGATCATCTATTTCCAACCCCCCTGCCATGGATCAAAGCCAATATCTGAGTAGGACTATGTGGCAGGAACAGGAAGATTTTAAACAGGCAGAATTGTGTTAACGAATCATATTTAGCGAAGGGAAATAGTACAATATGTGTTATTTCAGTTTCATTGAGTATAGTCAATCTAATTACAATTTGCAGTCTGGAAGAATGCATTTCTAACATAGCCATGATTCAGCCCTCTTGTGAGACATATATCCAAAACATGCAAGGCTCTCAAGACATCTATGCTGCAGCCAAATAAACCCCCTTTAGAAAAGTAGCTTTTGCAGATACTAACTGTAGCAAAGGCAACCTGCAACAGAGCTGTGGATGGCCGTATAGCCATGGCAGCACGAAGATCAGTGCCAGATTACTGTCTACATATTTATGTGAATATTGAATAGAGTTTTAAGTACAATGGCTAGCACAATAACAGTGCTAACAGCAGTGAAACTAGTTAGCTGAAACCCTAACCTCTGTAAGTGCACAGAGCTTATCACAACCTGCATTACAGCATAAATTTACTGCTGGAAGGAAGAGCATCACTCCTGACTTGCTGTTGATATTCCTTCTTTCCTTGAAGTGGCTTTTTGTTCAGTTACTGACTTTGCCTAATTTTATATAGAGTGAACAGACTTAATTACATAGCTTTGATACCCACGGCCTAAGCCTTCTCCAACCATTAATTTAGAGTGAAAGAAAGTTCATTTGCTCACTGGAGGTTTAGTGCCTTCTTCTGAAGCATCTTCTGCTAATCACTGCCACATACAGAATACTCACATAGGTGGATGCACTGAATCCAATACAGCATATCACCCCTGATGATCCTAGCTGATTAACAGGTTTCACTGAAAAAGCACTAGCAATGAAAATCCCAAGGGAAGTTGGGATGACCTTCTCAGGCCATGAAAGCAGGCACAGTGAAGCAAAACTGCATGAATTACAATTCGTTAATTCATGATGTAGGAAAAAAAAAATAGTATTAAAGGTGCCTAAAAAGACTTCAGTTTATGAGAAATTAAATTATCCTATATTAGTATGATAGGATCTAGACATATGTGTTAACATAGCATTACCTTGTTTGTATAAATAATAGCCGTGTGCTAACATAGGTACACTCATCTGAATTTCACTTGGGCTTCCAACTGCAATAACATCATTATGAATCAATAGTCTGTTTTTACCAGGCTCACCCACTTTTCCCCCTAGAAGAAGCATTTTGTAATCCACTAAGGAATGATGATTATGGCTCTTAATTTTTGCAATATAAAGGGTAACTTCTCCCACAAGATTTTCACAACCTTGTGAAAGCTGAGTTCACAAAAACCCCACCCCGTTGCTTTCACCACAAATTACCCCACCAGTCTGAAATGCGGTCAGATTTTATCTGACTCTCACTGGGCAGGAAATGTATTGTTCATATAATTTTGTTTTAACCAAGAGTATAACCATATCTAATCCAATTCATGTTGAATAATCTAATCCTTTGTGATTTTGGAGCTGGGTAAAAGAGCTGTAAGTATCAGCAAGTTTATATTTCTGGCTTAAAATGCCTGGGGTGCTTGAGCTGACAGTCTGTACATCTTCCTTGCTTAGGTAGCATTTGTCAAGGAAAGACCCTCATCCTCAGCATTTGTGCCCCAGATAGACTGGCAAGTCATTGTACTCGTATCTTCAGAGTATGCTTCGATTTTCCTAGGCTCTTTTCTGAATGGTATATATACTGTCAGGAGAACAATTCTTTCTTCATAAACAATGCTCATGTTGATGACTGTATTGTTTATAAAACTCACCTGTTTTATTGTCAAACAGTGTATTATATAAATGTGAAAATAAAATGCTTATATTAGGGTCTTAAAGATGCACAGCTGAAGGCATCCTTCCTCTCCTAAATGCAAATGCTATTAAAATCACTTTTTTTCAGCAATTAAAGAGCATTAGGTAGACTCTCAGTTAAGATGAATTTACCTCAAAAATGTATTCATCACTCTCTTAAAAAGTAAAGCCCCAAAGCAGAATGCACATAGTTGCCAGCAGCTTTAGTTAAAGCTAAAATTAGCCATGCTGATTAAGTGGATTTTGCATAACCTTAACTATTAATCCTTCATATTGGTCTTTTTTTCTTTGAAAAGTCTTGAAGTACCAATAACCTAAAGGTTTATAGAGTCACTTTTTAATACTACTTAGTTAAGATTTAATCCTTTGTATAATAGTTAACATTGGCACCATCTTTTAATAGCCCAAGATTTCCAACATGCACTTGCTGAACAAAACAGACATTTTCAATTCCAGGGAAATAATGGCAACATGCATAGCAGAAGAACTTTGATTTAAAGAATTAAGAAATGTACTTGCAAGAGATAAAATGGAACTAACAGTAAATTAATCTCTCAGCTTTCACCGTTTCTTTAAATAGTGTTCTTTTCTGGCTTAAATCTCTCACCTTCCATTTGCTTTAACTCAGGTCCTTATTTTCTAACAGCTAGATTGCCTTCCATCTTACCTGGCTAAGCAAGGCACAAATTACCTTTTCCAGTGAGACCAATATGGAATTTGACTCCAAGTCTCTTTCTGAAAGCTTCCCCTGTTTTATAGATACTTCCTCTGAAAAGGCAAGATAGTACTTCGTCTTGAATCATTCCGTTGCTGTCAGAGAGAAATTAAATTGCTGCCTTTAAAAGTTGAAACCGTTCCTCTTCTCAGATCAGGAAAAAAAAGGAATAAGGTAGGTTGTTTTTCCTGAAGTGGTACGTCATTGCAAACTTGGCTTTTGTTTAGGGCTGGTCCTGCTCCCAGAGGGTGCTCTTACTTAAGATTTATCTAACACATTTTGCTTGAGGTTTGCTTGAGGCTAAGAGAGCAAATATTGTTAGTTACCCAAGCTCAGCCAACACCTGGAAGCTCATTAGTTTACCATAATTCCTTTGTGTGCTCCAGCTCTGCCTCAACGTTTCA